CTCTGGCTACAAGAGAAATTTAAGATTTCAGTTGATGGAGTCTCTCCTCACTGATGATCTTCAGACTACCCCCTATCCCAGCTTTCTCATTGACATGGGGTTCCTGTTCTCACAGATGCATTAGGGAGACACCCGGAAAATAGTGAGTCTAAAGCACTATTAGGTAAGTATGATCTTCATCAGAATGTATAATGGCAGGAATTCCCTGGAGTAATTGTTGTTCTGCACAATACTGTAAATCACATCCGAGTACAAAGATAGGAAGGAGTAGAAAGGACTATATTCTGTTAGCATGACAGAGACACTTAATTATCAGAGAGAGTCAAAACACACCATCTATAATCAAAAGTTTCTCCTAGGGAATTTCTGGCTTGTGGGTCAAACTCTCTTGCTTTGCAATTCCTGTTGAATCCCCAAGAGACTGGAGACCAATACAGGCCTGAAACTGAAACTGGACATGTGCTTTTTTCTTGTCAGTGGATGCTGGAACTTTATAGCTTGGTTAAAAATTCTGATTTCTAAAAGTTCAGTCTTTGATTCAAGTCAGAGTGGATGGGCATTGGCCTTATGATGGAAGAAGTAAAGTGCATTCAAGTTTTTTTTTAATATAAAATACTAATGGTCACATTTAAATAATTTTGGAGAATGATATAACATAATGCTCTTTTTGAAAAAAAAGAGGAGACTATTGGTATATAATATAATAAACAGTGTATAACACTGACCACTTTACAAAAAAAATTGATATTTGTTAAGAAAAGACATCAGAAGAATTATTGAAAAAATAACATATTCCACTCATATTTTAAGATTATTATTATAATATACTTATTTTAATTCTTTTTCAATTTTAATCAAGAAAGCTGCCTCTACCTGACAAAACTGTGAAAACCCTTGTTTGGATATTCCTGTTTTGGCTTGGACTTTGCCTTGTATTTCTTCTAGTTAGTAATCTGAGCTTGAGATCAGTTCTTAAGACACAGACCCATTTCAAAACTGTACAAAGTTTAGATGTGATTTTTTGATTTGATTAGTTTACCTATCTGATGAAACATCAGTCAATACCCAGTTCAAAGTGAAAAAAAATAGCACAAGGAAGACAAAAAACCCCAGGAAGAATACTCAATACTTTGGGTAAATTCAAACAATCCCTGATTTATACACTCACACCTGCTTGCATTCCCTGAAAAACACTTATTGTTCTGAGTAAAAATATTCTTTTCCGCCACTGCACACTGTGTCCAATCTTTTAAACAAATCAGTGTCCTGAAGGGTGGTTCCAAAGTGGATGGAACTGGACTGTTCTCCGTGGTGTCAGATGACAGAACAAGGAGCAATGGTTTCAAGCTGCAGCCTGGGAAGTTTGGGTTAGCTATTAGGAAAAACTCTCTCGCTAGGAGGGTAGTAAAGCACTAGAACAGGTACCCAGAGAGATGTGGACTCTTGATCCTTGGAGATTTTTAAGACCTGGCTAGACAAAAACCTTGGCTGGAATGATCTAGTTGGGGCTGGTCCTGCTCTGAGCAGGGGGTTGGACTAGATGACCTCCTGAGGTCCCTTCCAACTCTAATTTTCTATGATTCTCTGATTCAGGGAATTCTAGACCTCCATAGGCTAACTGCTCCATCAAGGGAGCAGTGCCAGTTGGAGTCATGAGACAACTTTCAACTGTACCAGCTAACATTACTAGCTTACTGTAAAAGGGATGCAGTGCACCCTGTGGTAAGGTGCTCCCTGCCTCTCTTATCCAAGTTCTGCAATGTTTAACCCAGAGTATTATAAAGAGAGGAAAGTATATTTTTAAGATACCATTTCTATATAGTAGCAGGAAAGCCATTAACATTTAACCCAGTTAGGATTAGCCAGTCCTAGAGAGAATTTGTACGATACTGAATAGTTGATAGTCTAATGAATTTGTAGATTAAAATCAACTTTTAAAGCCTTGCTGATAATGTAATTAAAGTCATCATCAGTCTTTTTCTAAGTGTCTGTAGCGTGGAGTCACAGTCCATTAGGAGAACATGTTAGCATTGTTCATAACAGGATGTAAATGAAATAATCATGTAATCAGAACTATTTTAACATCAATAATGCCTTAGAGTGGTTATTCTGTATAGCTGTGACACACAATACCTTTATTCCCCTGATCAGATTAAAATGATGATGAATTCCTCGATGGCTCAAGTGTGCTCCAAGGAAAGCTAGAAGGTTGTACAGTTAACTCCCAGGGTGTAACTCTAAACCATACAACCTACTACCTCAACCCGGATGCACACAGATTCCAACGGTGACCATAAAATCTTCTTCACATCTTCAGCCTTTCTTTCAAATATGGCAGCCACATACATATGTCCTCTCTATATTGATTGATGGGCATTCAAAATGTTGAAGACAGTTAACTCTATTTTCAATCATCTTCCATTTTTAATGTAATAATTAAAAGATTGGTTTTAGATTTTTTTCTCTTGTGCACATACTCATAATATATCTTGTGCAGATTTTTATAGTAAAATTTTGAAAGACATGATGAAAATCCAACTACATTTCTGGAAGAACTCATTTTGATTGTTTCCTCTTTTTTAAAATTAAATTTAAGTAGCCATCTAAATTACAAATGCATATTTGAACTTAATATTTTATAGATTATATTATTGAAACAAACATACAGAATCTTCTATTCAAGCTCTGTGAAAAAAAATTCTCACAAACGATAAAATGTTATTCTGATATTAAGCCAAATGTGCTTTAAAAAAACCCAAGGGATAACAAAAAAAATTAATTAGCCATATTTAAAAATCACTAGAGTATATACTATTGAGGCAACCAACAAGAAAAGCAGGACAGAAAGACAAGTGGATTAAAAACTCCCAAACCTACTTTTGCTTGAAACAGTCACATAGGCAGCATGGCTTGTTTTTAAATACCACAAAGTAGCATGTCGTATAACCTTTTGCCAGATAACCACACTGACACAGACCCATAGAAGCGAGCTTGTGCGGTGTATTTTACCACAAGATCGGATCTACGGGTTTATGCCAACTGGCACCATCAGCTAACATCTTCCATTTAATGAGACATGGGAAAAATAATGTATGAAGCCTTTATAATGATGAGGTCAGAGAGCAGCAATGTTGAAATTAACTGTAAAGATTCCTAGTTAAAATATGTATTTCTAATCTGAGGCCATGGCCTTCACCAAAACGAAAAAAAGAAAGAAACTCTGCTATTTATTTTTAAACAGAAATTATGAAAGAAATACACATTTTACAGGCTTGTCACACAATGTTTTTTTTTAATCCACAAATGGATACAAGCATTATTTTGATCATAATGCTGCTGCTTGGTGCAGCCACAAATCTCAGTAACTTCAATAGATGTATTTCATGAAACCAGATGCAGGATCAGGCCATATAAGAAGACATGAAACAATACGAATGGTAAAAGTTTGGGTTCAATATTTTAGCATTGATATTGTACTACAAACCAATAATGAACATTAAACCACAACATCTGAAGCCACCATGTATAACAGATGGGCTCTTTCAGATAACCCTTTAAAGACTGGTCAAAAACTTCTTCAGATTGAAGTGTTTTCAGATACTACCTACACAAAAGCTTGTTGATTAAGCAATGCATATTAAATGAATCACAGAAGTTAGTTCATATCTTTTGTCCACTAAAATTTCTAACAACACTGCTGCCTGATAAATAATACAACAACTGTAAAAACAACTTTATAACACTTCAGGGCTAACTCATAAAACATGTAACTTTTTTGTTGTGACTGATAAAACATTATGATGCAAATATCTGCACACACAACATACAGTGCCTCATGCAACAGACTAAAATTAGTCCCTTTTGAGAAAATATTTAGTAATTCTGTGGATGAAATGCAGATGCATTTTTATCATATACATATTTTAAGTTAGCATACTTCCAAATAGTGCATTTTATCATTTTAATATTTTTTAAAATGATATGCAAATGTAATTTTCAAACAGTATAACTACAAAAATATATAAAAAATATTGCCAGGAGTGTATCCCTTAAAATAAGGGCTGTTGAAATGTCTCTTTAATATTAGTGTCAGCAAAATACTGAAATTTCTTTCTGAACTAGATTTCAGTATCTTCTTTCATAGATTCCCACTATAGACCCAAATCTTTACAATGCAGTAGTACTCTGTTTAAGATAAGGAAACTGCTAGCATAGGGGCTACTGGATCAGGTCCATACTGTATTATCTGAAAAACTGCAACAAATGTGTCTAATTCAATAAGGGTAATAATGACTGAATGCCAGTGAACAGGCATTGTAATTTTGAACATTTTAGTTGATTAAATCTTAGAATGTCTACTGTATGTTGTTGGGTTTTTCCCCCTCCATTTCTTTTTACTTTTCTATTTTTTGGTAATGATTTCAATGCATTGCTATTCTTCTATGCAAAATTGATATAAGTTCAATAGCAACCATACTATCATTTTTTTCTGTTGAAGCTGAAGAGTTAAAATACATTGCAACAAAGGAGATGAAACAAAAATTGTTATCATAGTATCAAACATATGGATACTGATTGCTTACATATCTTACCAATTGCTATTAATGGATGCTATGAAAGAGTACTACTCAGGGATTTCCCTTTCTAAGAAAGACTGGAAGGTATTCAGTGTTTCATAAAAAAAACACATTGACCACTGCATTTCATACACACACACACAAATGCACATGCACACACACAGTAAAAGACTCGGATTATATATTGATTTTTTTTAGGTTCCTTTAAATCTACATGGGGGAAAAATATTATAAAAGTAGACACTAGTGCCCTATTCCCTAAAGAGAAAAATCAAAACAAAGTTTATATGTAAGAATATATTTCTATATTTCTTTTAAGTTAAAAAAAACTTCTCTAAAATTAATACTTCTAATATTCTTGCCACAAGTCTTTCCAGTAACAGAAAAATATTAAAAACATGCTTAAGGAGATCATTTTATTACCTTTGTTGATTTCTGTTAACAACTTCATCGTTTTCCATTGTTTTAAATTTTCCGATCACTAAAACAAGAACATTGGTGAGAGAGAAATGTTGGAAGAATTATTTTTAAGATAATCTGAGACATGTAAAACAGTATTAATACTAATTGTGAAAAGACGGAATCAACATATTGTTGATGCCTTTCTCAAGGCCATGGGAAGACATTCAGTGAGCACACAGACTTTGTGACTCTGCTATTTTGTATGTCTTTCTTTCTTTTTCTCCAAATATTGTAATATTATGATTATTCCAAAGTAGAGGAGTGTTGGTGGTAGGAAATAAATAGGATTTGTTTCAACATGTTTGTTAGATTTTAATGTAGTATGTAGATTACTATGAAAATAGTAATCAGGTCAGTTCAGCTACACTTAAAATATATTTTTTAAGCAAGCATTAGTTACAAAAAAGTCTTAGAAACAATTATTTAATTACTTTGCTTATTTTAAAAAGATGTCTGCTCATTTAGGCAAATGTAGACATAAATTTTCATTATTCCAGTAAGCATTATTGACATATGAAAGTATTCTAACAGAGCTACTGGGGGAAAAATTACTATGCACATAGTAAATCCTTTTTTGTGAATGAAGATCTCTCTCACACACCTATATATGCTGATATATATATATATGCTGTTATTCATATATATATATATATATATATATTCTCAATTTAGTAATTTCCCACAATTCATTGCAGGCAACAATATATACTGTACCACAATTCAGCACATAATCTAAGCAGCTGATATCTAATTAGTAATCTATAACTTGTCAAATAGATGCTTATACTTCTGTAGTTTGAAGAAATGTAAGATGTTTATAAATCTTTTATACGAAACAACAATATATGATATGCCTTAATAAGCATATTAAAGTTTTCAATAAAAGAACATTTTAAATCTTAGAGTACTATCTACCAGGGGGCTTGTATCTTTTTAATATAGTACTGAAGAGCTCAAGCAAAGATTAAAAATCAAACTGAAATACATAAAGCATATTGATCTGGTGACCCTACTATAAAGTGTCAGCCAAAATGAATGTTGTTAAAAACTGTTCTATTTGCCTAGCAATGTATTTCTGAAGTCACACAAAACAATTAAAAAGCACCTATGGTCAAAACTTACAGTAACTTTGCATGCACTTTTCACAAAAATATTGAATGGATATCTTAAATGCTATTTTCAGATATTCTTTGACAAATGCTACTTTAGCAAATATCTTAAAATAGGCACTGTAACTAGCTGTGAGCCAGGCTTGCTTCATGTAACTTCCAATAATGTGCCTTTTATTCCCCTGCTTATAACACTGAAATCTTTGTAATGGATTTAAATACAAATTGTAAGAAACTCATAAGTGAACCAACTCGATTATAACTTTAATATATTGGCTACAAGAGTGATCTTTTCTTATAGTTGAACAAGTTCTCCCCCCCTCCCCTCTCTCTCTCTCTTTAGGAATTGAAAGCATGAGTCACACTAAATAAAAAAAGAATTTACTTTCCTTAGCAACCAGCTCTAAATACCCACCACTTTCTTACAGATAACCAAAGCTTATACTGAATACATGTAATTATTAAGGTCTTTGCAAAACTTCAGTGCTTAGCTAAGATAAAATGTGCCTGCCACTTATTTATATCATTTCTGCTGTTTTGTTTACTTTCTATTTTTAGCAGTATTAGTTCAAACATGCTGAAACAAAAAGTTAGTAAAAGAAAAAGTGTGATCAGTCATCTATGTTAAATCTAATACACAAGGACTCGGTTTCGAAACAACATGTTTAAAACGAAAAAAAAAAGAAAAGAAAAAGAAGCTATACCTGATATGAAAGGTACGTTTTCACCCACTGCCATATATTGCTATTAAAGCAATAATAAAACAAAACAAAGATTTTTTTTTAAGTTAAAAAATCACTTAGGCTCATTTAGTTATATTGTTTTAAGAAGCTCTAACACATCCTGATGACTCTGGAGTTAAACATGCCAGACTTTTTTTTTTTTTTTGGAAGCAGGAGAGTCACTTTTTTTCATCACTCCTGTATGTAGGACAAACTCAGATTTGTTTCTTCTTAGGCTCCTGTTATTTCTCGGAATAGAACCAGGATGCCTGTCTTCTTTTTCGTTCTTCTCGGAATTCCAAGCACAAAGCACTGCGCAAAAGCTGCACCAATCCTCGCCGCAACTGCCTGCACAGTGCTAGAGGTGGGAGAGCCCAGAAAATTCATCTATCCCCTGCGCTGATTTTATACATGGGGATTGCACAAGTCTGCCGAAGCAAAGGGGTGAAAAGGCAGGGTGCCAGTTTGCTACACTATGCTGCAATGATCTCATGTTCAATGCTTCTCCCCGTTTGCCCAGTTCAAATGCCTGTTCATTAAACAGTAAAAACTTTTATTCTTCAGACACTCAAAAGGATAGTTATAAACCACAGATCAGCCATAAAAAAAAACACCAGAACATGTCGTTTTCAAATTCAGTTATTAAGCCTAAATATTCTGTTTATATTTTCTTTTTTTTTTTCTGTTTAGAGATAAGAAGCAGAATTTATCAGGCGTGAAAGGGACAGCCTCCTGGTGGTGTGCCAAAAAAGCCAGAATAAAGGCAAAGTTGTGCTTCAAAGCTCAATCGCTTGCTGAGTCTGGCTAAAGTCAAGTATTAAGATCCACCATTTTCTGAGCCATGTAAGAAAAGAAGAAAAAAGTCAGAACGGGTGCTGCTTTCCAAGTCTCCGTTGGCACCATCACAAAATCTCAGCCGTAAGGTCACATGATTCTCTGCCAAATGTGGAGTGCATTCCCATAAACCATTCTGCTGATACTGCGAAGGCAGCTATTGTCTAGTTTATACCCAAAGTTCAGCCCACTCCTCATTGAATTAGCTGAAAAACGCATCACCTTTGGGGGTTGGGAGCCATGGAAACGTCTACCTGGCAGGCTGCCCACTTTTTCTGCCCATCAACCAGAGATGGAATTGTGCTGCCTAATGTAATGATGACTAGGAATGTGAAGAGTCGTCCAAAGTGAATCTGATTCTTGCGAAGCCTGTTTCATTTGCACAGCAAACTCTGGCTTCTTGTCGTTAAAAAGGCGGAGGGTGGCGGGGGGGGGAGGGAAAAAAAAGCCTTTCTACTAAATGTAGCAATTAAAGGTCTAGTAAACATGCCTACTCTGCAACTTTACTTCATAACACACCCAAATGGTTCCCAAACCAAAGGACTTAGTATATGTAAGTTTTCTGATTTAAAGCAGCAGTCATTTTTCCTGAGTTAATGCAGCATTCCCTGGACATTTTTTCTCCCTAAGATATAAAATGTGGTATATAGCAGATCTCTCAGCTCTTCTTTTTTCCTTCTTTATTACCTCCTGATTTTTATCTAGCACAAATTATATATGTGCAGAGCAATACCCACAAGTAGCCATGGGGATGCAATATTGCTGCAATCTTCCTCAAAGCAGTCTCCTGAGAAAGCTAGTTGTGTTTCCAACAGCACAAAAATCTTCATCTTAGCCCTCTTATCTTCACTAGTGACTAGGACAGCCAGTCTGCAAGTTTGTAACCCAACATATTTGAAAAGTGCACCATCTCTTTCCTTAAAATACAATTAATCCAGATATTCTTGAGGCAAGTTCCAATTATATGGGATTTATAAAAGATACAGGTTATTGGAAAAACAATGTACTAGGTGTAGATCCTCTGTTTCAGAACTGTAAATTCCATTCTGCCCATCTATTGCTTTTATGTAAAATGTCACAAAGCATCCAAATGAGACTTCTGACTAGGTAAAGCTGGGGACAACGATTTTATGCTATTTCAGGATATCAAATGGACTATTTAAGAGAATTCATTCAGAGTTCAGTGTTGTGAACAAACTGACAAATATCCAATGAATGCTGCTTCTCACTCAGGGTCGAAACTGAAGCAAAATAAATACCACCCTTTTGGTATATATATAAAAAAAGGAGGCAGGAACAGCCAAATGTACTTTAACACAATAGTTCTTAATCCGTTTGGACCCAAGGCATGAGTCTGGAGATTCAAGGCACCCTCAGAAAATGGCAGCTCTTAGTTTTCACTCATTTTTTGACTATCAGAAAATAATAGAGCAATTCTTCTGTTGCAAAGAACTGAGACAGACTACATCAGGTCAGAATGTTTCAACACTAAGGATTTTTATTTGAAATCTCTCTGTGCTTATTTTGTGAAACATGTTTCCAAGCCTAACTGCGCCAACACTGCATGCCACCCTATGGCAACCTTGAAAGGATCTCAAGACACCCCAAAGTGCCACAGCACCTTGGCTAAAAATCACTGATTTGACATTTGTATATAATAAGATAGGTGTGAAAGTAAAGATGAAGTCCTTTACAGGGGAAGAAGAGAAACATGGTTAGGAAACAACAGGGCAGTGTTGGGAGGAAAGGTGGAAAGTGATAGAGTGAGGGGCAGCAGAGAAGTAAAAAGTAGAGAAAAGACAACAAAGAATAATGTGAAGGCTTCTTTGGAGAGCATTTCCCATCCTAATTCTTAACTACAGTTATATCTTTCTAATTTATTTATTTTTTGCTTTAAAGAAACTAAAGGTTAATTGCATAATAGATTTTGAGTAAAGTGGCTTTGATAAGGGATTTGAAGAAAAAGAGGGTGATTATGATGCAAGGAAACGGTATTTTCAGGCATAGCAAGCAGCATGAAAGATGTCCCACAGGTATTTGGACAAAGAGAACAGCAGAGTAAAGCATGAAGATAAAATTGGAAGGAAAGAGGGTCTGAACAAGAAAGGGTTAGAATGAGGTAGAACTGCGCTAACTTTAAATGACTGAATGAGAATTTTGAAATAGTTGTAGAGGGGGTCAAGGAATAATTGCCACAAAAAAGGATGGGTAGGCTACTGCAATAGGAGAGGAAGACTAATTTAGTATTAGTCCCTTATCTGACAGAACAGAGGAAATTGAGACAAGGACAGAAAAGTTGAGAGTTATTCATGAAGAAGATTATCAAGGCATGGATGAGGTTTGTGGAAGGAAGA